GATAGTACTTAGGTGTGTCGTGGTGTTTGGGTTGGGAAATGTGTAGTTTTGTTGTAATTTCTTTACGTTGAATTAGAATTGGTAACTATTGGAAGGTGGAAAGAATGGGGGAGACTAGGGAGACCTCAGTATCAGATAGCTCGGGCTTTAAGAGGTCATTGAGAAAGAAAACGGGTGTAAGGAATTATGATGAGAATTTGATGGATGAGTTGATAGAGAGCCATTTGGGTGCTTCTTCAAGGAAAAGGAACAGAACACAGGAGGATTTGGAGAAAGAAACAGAGATTGAGGCCATGATAGCGCTATCTTTGGGATTTCCAATAGATGTGTTACTACGCGAGGAAATTGAGGCTGGAGTTGTTAGTACATTGGGTGGAAAAGAACAAAATGATTATATCGTTGTGAGGAACCACATACTTGCAAAGTGGAGGGACAACGTTAGGTCATGGCTTTCCAAAGGGCAAATAAAAGAAACTGTGAGTAATGAGTATGCACACTTGATAAATGCAGCTTATGACTTTCTTTTGAATAATGGATATATAAATTTTGGGGTTTCACCATCGTTTGGGTCTCAGAATCCTCATGAATCTGTAGAAGGGTCTGTAATAATTGTAGGTGCTGGACTTTCTGGCTTGGCAGCAGCAAGGCAGCTAATGTCTTTTGGTTTCAAAGTGGTGGTACTTGAAGGTAGGAATCGACCTGGGGGAAGAGTTTATACTCAAAAGATGGGTCGAAAGGATAATTATGCTGCTGTTGATCTCGGTGGCAGTGTAATAACTGGTATCCATGCCAACCCTTTGGGCGTTTTGGCTAGGCAACTATCCATTCCTCTTCATAAGGTTAGAGATAAATGCCCGCTGTATAAGCCTGATGGAACACCCGTTGACAAAGAAATTGATTCCAATATTGAGCTTATTTTCAATAAGATGCTTGACAAAGTCACTCAATTGAGAGAATTTATGCGTGGATTTGGTAGTGATATTTCTTTAGGTTCAGTTTTAGAGACACTTAGACTATTATATTCTGTGGCTAGAAGTGATGAGGAAAAGCAACTTCTTGATTGGCATTTTGCTAACCTGGAATATGCCAATGCCGGAAGCCTCGTGAACCTTTCAGCTGCTTACTGGGATCAGGATGACCCTTATGAGATGGGAGGAGATCACTGCTTTCTTGCAGGTGGAAACTGGAGATTAATTAGAGCATTATGCCAAGGAATTCCAATCTTCTATGAAAAGAAAGTTCAGACCATTAGGCATGGTGATGAAGGAGTTGAGGTCATTGCTGGGAACCAAGTGTTTCGAGCAGATATGGTCCTGTGCACTGTTCCACTTGGGGTCCTCAAAAAGAGAACTATTGTCTTTGAACCAGAGTTACCTGAAAAGAAGCTTGCAGCAATAGAAAGACTGGGATTTGGGTTGCTCAATAAGGTTGCCATGGTATTCCCTCATGTTTTCTGGGGGGAGGATTTGGATACATTTGGATATCATAGCGAACATAGTTATAGACGTGGAGAATTCTTTCTGTTCTACAGTTACCATACTGTTTCTGGGGGTCCAGTCCTGGTTGCACTGGTGGCTGGGGAAGCTGCACAATCTTTCGAAAATACAGACCCATCTGCTTCTCTTCATCAAGTTTTGAGTATTCTCAAAGGTATCATATATCTTTGAACTGAAAGTTAGAAAATAAAAACGCTTTCCATGAATCTGTTGAAAATGTGTGTCATTTGCTTTCTTAATTTTTTGGACATTGTAATTTATGTTGTTCATTAGATTTGCAGCTGTTGAGCCTGCTTATGGTGTTTATGCTTATTTTTGCAGGCATATATGGTCCGAAGGGCATCGACGTGCCTAATCCTTTACAATCCATATGTACGAGATGGGGAACTGATCCTTTTTCTTATGGCTCATATTCGCATGTCAGAGTGAAGTCATCTGGCAATGATTATGATATACTCGCAGAAAGTGTGGGAAACCGTTTGTTTTTCGCTGGTGAGGCCACTATTAGGCAACACCCTGCCACCATGCATGGTGCCTATCTCAGTGGCCTGCGAGAAGCTGCTCGCATCCTCCGAGCTATAAGGGAACAGCAAAATAATCCCAAGTGCATGCAGAGGAATATTGGACCCAGCGATGATACTTTGCTGGATCTATTCAAGAGACCTGATCTGGCATTTGGGGAGTTTTATTGTGTGTTTAATCCTTTGTCCCAAGACCCAAAATCACTGGGGATTATGAGACTGACTTTAGGAAAGTCTTGCAGGGAATGCATTATTGAACAGTCTACTTCAGAGAGAACAGAGGATAGCTGTCAACATTTGTTAAATGAACCGCTTCAGCTTTATACAGTAATATCTCGCGAACAGGCACTAGAGTTGAAGCAGGTGACAGGAGGAAGAGAAAATCAAATGTCCTACTTATTCAAAAATCTCAACCTGAGGCTAGCGGGTGCCAATGGATTAGGACTTTTGGGTAATTCGGTGATATCTAACATTGTTAGTGCACGAAGAGGCAGAGGTCGGTTCCGCATGTCTGCTGGACAGCAAAATGCCGCATAGAAGTGCTCATGTTCTAGTCACCTCAATGATTTGTACGCATCCACAGTTTTCATATAATGAAGG